TTGAAATGTCTTAGGAAAACTCACGAGCTTTAGTTGTGCCAGTCCCTCACACCAGGACTTGGATATGTCTGAAAGAGAAGAGGTGAAAAGAAATTGTCTTTAAGAGATTAATCAGACTGCGTTACCACGCTGTTACGTCCCTCAGCTCGCTAGGAGAGATGTGGTAGAGGGAGTAAGAGATGTTGTGTGTGTAGGGTAAATAATAGCAGAGTATTTGTGTCTCCAACAAAGGATTTTTATTAAACATAAAGAGCCTACAAAAGGGAAAAAAGGATTAACATAAAGCGCCTGGCCAAAAGGGCTGAGAAGGAAACTAACTGAAATATTCAATATATATATAAAACACTAAATTTAACAAGAGACGTCCTGGTAAGCAGAGACGTTCGGGGGAAATCCAAAAGGGGAGTCGAAGGCCAGTCCAAAGTCGAAGTTACCAGAAATCCCAATTATCAAGAGTCTAAAGCACTAAATTACTGAAGTACCATGAAACACGCACGCACGCACGCACGCACGCACGCACGCACGCGTAGAAGAGAGAAGTCTGAACACTTCCGTGCCCACACTTTCCTGTCCCTTCTCACTCAATGAGGGCAAGAGAGCAGCTTTTAACAGCTGCTCAGGTGATTATCAAATTACCCACAGCTGGGCACTGGGAGACCGACGAGGCAGAAGCCACTGAGGCCATCTTGTGGCCGAAAAGGGGCACTGTACGTAACACACGCACAGCATAAAATATATGTTTTGGGTAACTTTCTTTCCCTTTTACACAAAAATGTTTTTCATAGAAAGCAAACATAATAAGGATGAATAAAAACATTTATCTTAAGTGCCCTAAGTAAATCAGTTTAAATGTACTGCCTACAAAAATATTTATTTTGTCCTTAATATTTTGATTCAGATGTTGTATGCAGTGATTTGTCCATACCGTGTGGACCAGCTCGACTGGAGATGTTTGGTGGTGTTTCAGACTCTGTGTTTCCACTATCTGACCCCTGCATACCGTCTCGTCTTCCTCCCTCCTCATTTTGGTGGTGATTCTCTCTCTTCTCCATCACTTCACCGCTGTGTCCTTCTATCATTTCCTTCTGTCACTGATCTTGCTCTTTGCCACATTTGTGTTGCTCTTCTCTTTCTCTCTTTCCAGCTCATCTCCTCCACAACAGAGCTGGTTAGTCTCTGTTTGTCTCACCTTACTCTTTGTTGAGAAAAAAACTAGAGATACTACCTTTCCTCTTCATTTCTGAAAGATTGAAAGTCATTTACAATGTTTTCTGGACAAATATTTAATTGATATCTGCTTTTCTGCCATACACAGGCCTAGACTCTGGCTTAAGCCAGGCGTACACTGTGCGACTTTTTCACTCGTAGCATTCAACTCCATTTCAAACTGTACAACCTCCTAGCAAATCAAAGCTTGAGCGCCATGTTCTCACACTGTTCCACATTTCTCGGATACAGCCTGACTGCTCATACTGTAGGTGTGGTAGCAACAAGCATAGACATCAGAGACTATTTTATTTACAAAAATGAACAAATACAAACTTTGTTCTTGATATCTGTCCTCCTTCAGACTTAGGAGGACACGCAGGAGTTTATGGGGATTGGAAAATAGACAAAAGAACTGTTTAAGGGATCCGTTTTATTAGACAAACACGGCAGACACGCTTTTGTCACGCCCTGTCCCGTCTCCCCTTTTGGTTCAGTCCTGTGTCTCTGTTATTTGCTCCCACCTGCCTCTCGTTGTCCAATCACCCAAGCTCCCAGCCCTTTTGTATATAAACCCCTTCAGTCCTGTGTCTCTTGTTGGTTCATTGTTTCCATGTCCTGCGTGTGTATATCATTAAAACCCTTTAAGTTTTCCAGTTTGTCTGCCTGCCTGCTTCCTCCCCAGCATTTGGATCCTCACCTCCGCTCCACTCACCGGCACGTCGTGACAGAATGAACCAACCCACAGAAGGATCCAGCGGGAAGGTTATCCCTTGGGAGTACCTGCACCAGTTTCTCGCCGCGGACCACCGGCCAGCTCCTCTTCCTCCGGCATCGCCTCGCCACAAACGCCGTCACCGACCTTCAGCCTCGGCGATCCTCTCCACCCTCCCGGAGCCAGATGAGAGGTTGAACCGGGAGACGCTTCCGGATCGCTCCAGCTTCGTGGGCACCAGACTGGCTGTGTGCTCCCCCAGAGTTGGCCCACGGCGTGGGGAGGGATGCCGGGCTCCACCGCAACCCTGTGTCCCGGGACGGAGCCGCGAGCTTGCCGCTGCCCCGGCTCAGCGCACCAGCTTGGACCCGCCCCCAGTCAGACCAGCAGTCCCGTCTCCGGTCCAATCAGCTCCTCCGTCATCTGCAGGCGGAGGAACAACGCCCACAGCCCAGCTGACAGAGCTTGCCGGTCTCCGAGCTGAGCTGGCACAGCTCCATCAGACCCTCAGTCTCAATAAGCTCCAGCTGGACGGTCTGTCCTCCCTGCTCTCCCAGTTTCCGGCGCCTCCAGTTCGGCCCGCTCTGGTCCCGGCAGTGACCCAGGAGGCTCTTCCCCCGGGCCGGCCAGTCCAAAAGTCGGCAGCTCCTCCTGCAGCGGCTCTGCCTCCACTCCAGAAGTCGACGGGTCCGGTCCGGAAG